TTTAACCAACTAGACGTTTTTATTGCTACAAAAAAATTTTGAAACCTTGGTATATCTTGGGAACATAAATATGGCCTTTGCTATCTATCCTCCAGGTCAGCTTTAAGCCCCGCCCAGCTAATGGTTATTTTGCCGTGCCTCTCCAAGCTTCACTGCTTTCTATACATCTTCAACAAGTCATCTCATATTGTTCAAGGATATTATTATCTCTTTTTAAATAAACGTTTGATCAGGTTTTCTTTAGCCTTGTCATCAGGGACATCAATTAATATTTTCCTCCTTGGAAGTAAAATTGGACACTCATTTTTAGAAAAGCGTTTCAGTAGTTGGATCTTTTGAGATTCTTTGTTAATATGCTAAATGAAATTGCTGCTCCAGCCAATCTACACAATATATGACCTTTACTGGACTTTTAGTTAATGGACTCTTAGGATGTAAGATGTTGATGTGCTGCACTGAGCATATGTGGCCATGTGTCGTGCTGTGGAGTGGGCTAATCTTAGAAAACATGGCTCGGCTGGAACTCCCTGGGGTGGGAGTGCAACAGCGCCAATCCGTCTCATCAGCCAGTCGCAGAGGGTGTTCTGCAGGCACAAGGCAGCATGTAGCATACAGGCAAATCCACAGCAGCATGCTCAACGTTTATCACCAAAAATTTGTTTTAGAGCTTTAGAAACACAAAACCTTGTGCGTCTCCCATGCATTATAGAGAACATATTATATTCTCAAGATTTGTTTTTTAACCACAGAACTTGCAGTATTGTCATTACTTTCATTACTCACTGATTCCGACCTCCTCAGTTCACATAGTGAAATGCTGTATTGTACAATGTGTTTTGCAGGCTTCAGCTGATTGTTCTCCCTGCACAGCAACTCAGTTTACTGTTATAGACACGACTCCCAGCCATCTGACAGAGATATCTGCTCCTCTCCCCCTGGGTGAAAAACCAGCAGGAGGAGGAGGATTGATGGTAGTGGTAGATGTTACAACAGATAAGCGGCTGATACAGGAAGACTGCAGCTGCTGAGGCCTGCAGGTTGGGCGTGTAGACCTTCAGCATCCTCATGACCTTCCTTTGAATTGTCTTGTTTTATTTTGTTTAGTTTCCGGTCAAATGGAGCTGAAAAACTCTGAAGGGTTGATGTGAGAACTACATGGGGCCTCTGCTGTCTTTTGTTCTGTAGTTTATCGGCTTTTCTTTATCTTCCCCTTGTCTCCCACACCTCCACAGACTCACTGATTAAGCAGCTGGTTTAAAACATGGCCCCTCTTCTTCACTGTTGGAAAAGCTATCTTACCCTCATTTTCAAACAAATTATTACCGCTTGGATCAAAAAGGACTAGAATGTGTTTATCCTTTCAATATGGGTTATTCTATCCATCACTACTCAAAGCCTCTGCAGTATCGTAAGTGTAATCTGTGTAATTTTGGACTTTTTCCTGCAGTTTTACTACTTTCATAATGTTCTGGACTGAATTGGCTGCTGATTCTATTATTAGTGTACAAATTACCTAGTAATCCTAATCTAAAGTGAAGTTAATATTTAAACCAGCTTCTTGGACATTTTGCTGCAGATGTAGGCAGGAGGAAGTAAAAGCTCCGATGGAAAAGTTATCACAGGGATAAATCTTTATTTTTGTCTTGCCTACATACAGGCCACAAAATACTGAGCTGCTAATGCTAAGTGAGGTACATACCTATACTTTGAGACTTGAGACATCTGTTTTCCAGAACCTTCGTTTCCAATGTGGGGTCCAAACCAGGTCCCAGTGCAGTAGTATTTTAACACACAACTCCTGCACCTTCTGTCACTGCTGTGGAAAAGCATCTTCCTTACCATGATGCTGTAATCGCCATGTTTTTATCTACAGGGTACTGGCATGCATTTTCTAGGACCTGGCCATCAGACAGGAGCACTTCCTGTTTGCTGTGTCCTCTGAAGGGATGTTGTGACAGAGATGACTTCTGAAGAGTCATTCTAAAAAGATCAGATTTATGGACTTCATCTCTGGGTGGAACTGGATTCTCTGTCATACTCAAAGCCTGTAGGACTGTTTTAAAACTCCATCCTGGTGAAAATGTTCTCCTCGTCTTTCTGCCGTGCTCCTTGTGCTTCATGATGCTGTTTACTCACTAATGTTCTCTAACGAAACGTGAGAGAATATCAACATTTGTGTGAACTACTTAAATTCTTAAGGAACCTGGATATTATTTAGATACGACTTTAATTAATTGATGATTTTTCATTCTATCACTGTAAGTCTCAATAAACCTTTTGGGCTAGGTGGTTGTTAATTGGAAAGGTGGAACATTCTGCAGGGCTCATGTCCCCCACGCGCTCCTCCATCCCTCGTGGTTCTCTTCCGCCTTCCTTTCTTTGTCATCATTTTAAATCCACATCCCAGTCCGCCTCTTCAGTAGTCTGCTGAGCCTCAGAAAACCATAATGCTGCCCACTTCCTCCAGATCCTCATGGCTTGAGTTACATGCTGACTCAATGACTGAGTGTGTGTGTGTGTGTGTGTGTGTGTGAAAAAGGGCAGTTCAATATCCTTGAAAAAGGAAGGGCATGAGTTTCAGAAGCACCTCGTTGTGTGTTGTGTTTTCAGCTGAATAGGTGGAAAGTTGGCCGGCTGCAGGTTTTTAAATAGCTGAATGGGTATTGACCTGCTCCCCAATATCAGCAGCACAGACACACCCCCATCCATACATTCATTCATTCAATAAAGCTGCATGTTTGGTTTGGCAGTTTGTCTCTTAAAGTATTGATGCTTGAAAGGATGAATGGAGGGAGGTTCTAATGAATGAGTTTATCAGTTCATGAATGAGAAGAAAAGCATCTTCCACTGTTTAGGCATTAAATCACAAATTAAAACCCCTTTTTTCCTCTGAGTGAGGCATATCGGGATGTGATTGTGTAACCCTGATGACTGATAATGTAAGTGCTTCTATTTCTGGACCTGGTGTCGTGATTCAGCTTCAGGGTACCAAATAAGAGGAAGCGTACGAGCATCTCATTTGTGTTTCTTTACCAGCCGGCTCGCCAGAGGAAGCTGTCTTTAAAATCATGTCAGAAAACCTAAATGTGATACAGCAAAACGATCTATCTCAGTGCAGTTCTGGGAGAAACAATGCAGACCTCTAGATACTCATTCCTTTTGTCCTCATTAGTCTCCTACAGTGTTTTTTTATTTTATTTTATTGAGATCATAAAATAGATAAAAAGGAGATAAACATACAATAGCATAGATAAGATATATATTACATCATTGCTCCCATTCATTAGGGTTTACAGTATGGCTATTTGTCATGCAGCAACTGATAGCCAATATGTTTTGGTGAAGGTGAGTCCAAAGTTTACATGGCAGTAAGATATTATACCTGTTAGACCTTTATTTTTGCACACATATGCACACCCAGTGAGTTTTTTTTGTATTTTATTCTATGTAAAACAAAGAAATAGAGCTTATCCAAAATCTGAATGTTCAAGTTTAAATTTCTCAGAAATTCACCCTAAAACCACAGGTAATGAATTATATATCAATATTTAAAATGTCACATGTTTTTAGAGCTTATATTTATAATAATTCTAATCATAATAAAGGTCATAATAATAGTACTTTTTTTAAGGCTTCATTAAAAGCACTTAAACTCAGCGTATAAAGAAAAACAAAAGGTTAAAAAAGTAAGAAGAAATCAAAGAACAGATGAAAAATAGGAACATTGTGGTTGATCAGAATAGAAATGCTCGCCTGAACAGTTTTTTAACTAACTTGTACAAAGATAACGGAGTTAAAGTAGTCCAGACGAGACTCTAACCCAAGATGCTCAGGTTGGAGGAACCTACATGGGTTAATCTAAGTACATACAGAGTCCAAACGGTTTGAACAGATAACCTAAATAAAATTTAGCCGAGAAAAAAAGATAACAACCACACTCGGAACCTAAGTGAGTGTGTTATTGATATTTAGGGTCAAACTGGGATACCCTGGGAGAATGGATTCAGTCCGGTAAAGGAGAAATTTTGTTTTTGTCTTTCTTTAAGTTTGAGAAAGTTAGAAGAAAATCTGACCTTACCCTAAGGTCACAAATCTACATCTGTAAATGTCCACTGTAGGAAAGAGAAGCCCTGTTAATTGGTATTATTTTATTCCTTATCAGTTATCTCACTTATTTCCCTCACTTTAAAGTGAGTGTATTTTAGCACCAGGTCTCAGCATCTAGGACTTTGATTTTAGAGATCCTCAAAGCGTTCCTGTTTGCTGTTTGGTTCTTTGATCCGGTCTGTTGTTTTTATCAGATCTGCAAGTTGAGGAGAAAAAGAAAAGAGACTGACAGGTGTGCCTGGTAGACATAATTACATTAAATGCATTATCTGTAACCTATTTAAAACATCAACCAATACTTAAACTCCCAGAGAAGGATCATTAGTAGAAGTCCCTGGAAAGTCTGTAGCATAGATGCATTTGATCTAAGAGAGCAAACCTTTTGCAGCATTAATAATCTGCTCTCTCTGCTGCATGTTTTTGCTGTTCTTGTCTAATCACATAACATCTTAGGTTTAAGGGAAGAATAAAACCAAGATGCATTGGGTCGATTGGCCCTGTGTGATGATGCTCTGTTAGTCACCGATGTGCAGATGCAGAGAGAAGACAGAGGATGGGATGTCTGATTGGACGCCGCCACTGACACCATGTCATTATGACTTTGTGTTAGATCCCAAGTGTAGCGAAGAGTTTTAGATGTGATGCAATGTGACAGAGCCGGAGCCCGAAAGGGGAAGAAGTTTATTAATGCAAACTAACATGTTTGGGAGCAGAGGAAGACACTGTGGATGGAATTTACTTTTGTCCTTAAAGATAGGGAATTAATAAAACAACAATGGACTGCTCCGATTGCACATCTTTCTATTTTCAAAACATTTATATGAATTAAAACCTGCTGTTTTGTTTGTTTTCTGTTGTATCCAAAGTGACAGTCTTCTCCTCTTCCTTCTCAGCCTCTCCTCGGTGGGTTGGCATGGCTCAGTGATGAACGGAGCGGTTTTGCCCGGTAGCCCGGAGCTTTCCTCCTCATGCCCGCTGCCTGACTGGAGAGAGTTCTGTGAGCTCCACGCTCGAGCCTCAGCTGCTGACTTTGCCGACAAGTTCCAGCGTTTTCTGTCGGAGAACCCGTGCTACGACTCGCCAGGTGCCGATGCCAGCTTCTCACAGCATTTTGCCAACCACTTCCTTGAGTGCTTCTCTGTGGCGCTGACCCAGGCAAAAGAGAAGCAAGTGTCCTCTCCTGGGGACGAAGGCTGCAACGCGGCTCCGAAGTACACCATTGTTCCTTTCCTGGGAATCCAGGGTTGTCCACTGTCCTACGGTCACGACCTCTATCAAAGGCGTAAGGACACTGGGGCTTCAAGTGAGTCTCTGGACAGCATGGACAGTGGTGGGGGAGGGATAGATGGGGGAGGCAGTGAAAATACCTCCTCTCGAGGTCCACAGACTCATAAGATGTCAGTTTTAGGACAGTCTCGGAGCTCAGAGGACGTGTCTGTCAGCCACCCTAAGGCTCGCTTCAAGAAAGGCTTCTCATTGAGGAACATGAGTCTGTGTGTTGTAGATGGGGTGAAAGAGATGTGGCATAGACGGGCCTCCCCCGAACCCGACGGTCCTTCAGGAACCAGGAAGGCCAATGGAGGAGGGGAGGCAGGAGGGGGGGAGAAGTGGTCCCAGAAGCTGAGGCTCCCCCGGAGTTCCCAGAGCCACAAAGCCGAGCTGCTGGAGATCCAGAGGGAGGGGGCGCTGAGATACATGGTGGCCGACGACACAAACTGTATGGGTGCTGCACAGTGGCAGAAGTGCCGCCTGCTGCTCAGGAAGACAAAGCGTGAGGAAGGAGGGGAGAAGTTCCTGCTGGAGTTCTACGTTCCTCCGAAGGTATAGTAATACAAACAGAATGTGGACAAAAAACTAAAGTTGGAAAGAATGCAATATCTGTTGGGTAGTTTAGGGTTTAGATATAGCTTGACAGGAAGCAGAGGGTGGAGGGGGTATATTTGTATATCCATGGGGTCTCTCCAAACAGATCAGTGGAAAAATTCTTTCAGCTTTACATGTATTCTGCAAATGGTAGTTTATCCTTTATCATTTTCTGTTTACTTCTATCATACCGTAATCCCGAGAGTCGAAGCTGCAGCGACCATTCCTGTCACTCTTTCAACATGAACGGTTTAGCAAAGGTTGATTAGCGCTGCATCCCCTTTCAGATTATAGTATCACTAATCCCCCTATTATGGATTAATGTATCAACGTTAAAATCAGAGTCGATTCTATTTATACTCTGATTTAACAGCATAAAAGAGGTGTGGTTTCCAACAGTATACGACTCCTGCTGCTTCTTCCCTTTGTAATGTCCCACTACGTCACAATCATCTGCAATCTGTTATTGCCCTTTGCAGTTCATTGGGATTTCAGCTGTGTGCTTTTTCTCTGAAGAGGTGGATCAAAAAGGTGATATTGGACACTTTATGAACTTTCCGTTCAGTGGGGGACAGTTTAAAAAACAAATGGACGATCTGAAAGTGGCTTTATGAGGGGAAAATCTAAATCTGTTATAGCGTCAAAACCTTCTATAAGGCCTATATGATTTTGAAAATGGACGACATCACTGATGTGCAAAACTGACGGAAAGGTTCCTCTGTGTGAAATCCGATTTTACTCCTCAGGGAAGCAGGAAGTTGGGGGCGGCCACCATTAATGATCTAAAAAAAGTTTAAATCACAATTTAACAAAGACGCTTATATTAGTGAAAAGTTTAGCCTTGTCAGTGACTTTGGAGAGATACATAATCATTTAATATCTCGGATTTATTCTTCTAAAGTTCCCGGGATTGGGTTATACTGCTGTAATAACAAAGACTTTTGTTGTAAAGCTTTTTTTCTGGGGTACCAATATTTGTGGAGAACACAATGCACAGTTTATATGTTTGCATACAGACTGTTTAAAACAGTAATGCTGTCAAATATATATGTTTTTTCCTATTAGAATATTCAGGTTAAACTGGAAAAGAAAAACAAATCAATGGTGAAAGCAAGCTTGAGCTGCAGTCCTTCCTGAATGCCAGATTAAAATTCAGCGAAGTGAACCAGCCATGTGTAGGTCTAAACCACAAACTCCTGAGCATACATGCACCTTTCACATTTGCCTGCACATCGTTGCTGGTGACCCTAAGTAAGCCAAGAGGCTGTGCAGCTGAGTGTGTGTATATCTGCCTGTCCTTTGATCATAGCAGGTGGGAATGTGGAAGAGGCTGCTTGGGCAAGAGGACGGATGGGAGGCGGATGGGCTGGGGGGTTGGGGCTGCAGAGATGTCCAGAAGCTGTGCAATAGGAAGGGTGCTTTATTGGTTTTTAATATATGAGAGGATCTCATAGTTTCTTTATGCAAACATTATTTGCATTCTCAATTTAGGCAAGATAAACAAAAGTAGACAAGAAAAAGGAACCAGTATAGTTCAGGGAGTGACCTCAGAAACTTCTAAGTCAGTGAGAACCACAAGAGGAACAGATAAAAAGGAACAGTTCAACTTCATGGTATCAGTCTGTTGACCTCTACAGATGAGGAGCCACACATAAACACACATGTCAACAAACTAAGCTCTTTTATCAACCACGCATCATGAAATCTAATAGATAAAGAAGCCGTCTGATCAGAGCGATGTTTGCAGGCATATCAATAGGAAGTTAGATGGAAGGAAAAAGTATTAGAAAATTGTCCTCCAGCAACAGGGATAAACGCAGCTTTGAGAGGACAGAAACAGACTCCCTTTTAAAGAAAAAAACAAAAACAAATCTTGGTTACCTCTTATAATTAAAGTTTGGTCTGAAAATCATTTGTATGTCCTTTAAAAGTTTGTAAAATTAAAAAAATGATGTATATCTGTGACTCATAAAAACAAACCTTTGTTAAAACATATTTAAAGCTTTTCATTTTAATTTCATTACCATTGATGATCCTGTTGCAGTTTTAATAGATTTATGTATTTCCTTATGATTAGATTACAAGCCAGAAAAGTGCTTATGAGTTTAACAAGGACCCAAGTTTATCTTGCTTCCTCCAACAGAGAGGAGGATGCCGAAACAAAAATCTTTCACTGCTGCAAAGAGTGCCATCATCGGGCTGCCAAGTCTCCTAAAAAAATGAAATAAACATTTTAGGTGCATTACGTGTCGGGAAACATGTTTTCTGTCCCAACATCAAAGATGTAAAAGTGTGAGATTATACTGCCACTATAACTATAAACAGGAAATCTTGTCTAGAGTATCCATTTTTATTCAGCAAACTCTGCAGGTGGATGTTCAGTAAAACATTTCAGGCCCCCATTTTGTACGGTGGAGGATGTGTAATCCTGTGGGCTTCCCCTTTCTTCCAAATGCTGTGGGAACCTTGTTGCTGTTCATAGTATCACATTCTAACTAGTGACACATCCTAAATTTATGTTGCTAAGTCATGTTTCTGTCCCGCCTCAAAGCTTTGATTACAGGAACATGAGAGCTCACTCTAGAGACGTTTGGCTTTCCATTACCTTAGTCTAATGACACTATTATTGAGAATGGCCAAACAGTAGAGATGAGCAGGAAGCCGCTGAATGGTTAAATACAGGAAGTGTCTTTTTACACACGATCCAAAAAAAAAGGGGTATAGTGGGCGTGGATGGCAGCCAGCTGCATGAGCAGATTGAGAAGAGGACAGCATTACTCCAGACAGATCAGCTGCAGATAAGCCTCTGCCAGACGATCACTTAGCTTCCCTCTTGCTCTGCCCCCCCCTACACACACAGATACACAAATGAGCACAAACTACACACAGTTTGCTGCCCCAAACATGTTCATTGAGTCTGATTGAAGATTACCATGTGGATCTGTCTCTCTGCAGAGGGTCTGCTGGGACCAGCTCTCTCCCATGTAAACTTGCTCTGTTGAATGTGTTATTTGTCAGCCCGCAGGAGTAATTGCTGAGATAAAGCGGGGAAATAGGAAACTGAGGCAAAACAGACTAACTTGGCTTACTGTAGTTTTTCTTCCTTATTCCTACTGTGGGTTAAATTTTGTTTTCCTATAATATATCTGCGGCTTTATCTATTATAGCCACACTTTTAGTTTCAGTTGTCTTGCTTTAAAGAGAAATCGTTGTTTTTAACAGTTAAAGGGAAACTATGAGTCCGAAACTGTTTCTTTATATGTGGCTGTCAGTGATCCCGTCTTTTCTTTAATGTTAAGCAATAATTTCCAGGATTTCTGCTTTTTACTCAGTTTCAGTTAACTTACTGTCTGATTTCAAAGGAATGTTTATGTGTTTCCATCCATCCGTCCGTCCGTCCGTCCGTCCGTCCGTCCGTCCGTCCGTCCGTCCATCCATCCATCCATCCATCCATCCATCCATCCATCCATCTCAAAACTTATTTTAATTTCTTTCAGAAAAAAAAACTATAGATAACAATTCATATGTATATATATTTTAAACATGTTTTTACATTTATATAATACAGGAGTATTAACAAGACAGTTTGTCTGTCTGATCCAGTGTTCGAAGCCTAAAGTGAGCATCCCTCTCTCAGCTATCGTGGAGGTGAGGACCACCATGCCACTGGAGATGCCCGACAAGGACAACACTTTTGTTCTCAAGGTATGCTCTGTGAAAACCCTAACCTCAACCTTAAGCATTTTAAGCGACACCAAATGTGTCAATTAAAATGCTTAAACATAAAAAAAAAACCCAAAAACCTCAGCACAATACAGATTACTTTATGTTTGAGAACAGGCCGGGCTGTGTATAGTGAACAGAGCACAGTGTGTGACTTGTGTGTTTGGCTCCATTCACAGGTAGAAAATGGGGGAGAATACATCCTGGAAACCATCGACTCTCTGCAGAAAAACTCCTGGGTGGCTGATATCCAGGACTGCATAGACCCCGGGTAAAAAGCGGCAGATAAATATTTGTTGTTGACTGAAGAAGGAGGGAGGAAGGAAGAGAGAGGGGGAAAGGAGGGTGGATGAGAGGAGAACGGAGGGGGAAGCACAGATAGTCATTAATCATGTAATTAGTGGATTTTTTTGACAGGCTGTTTGAGCAATAACATCAGCAGTTATGTGCCGCTCAGTTTTTGGGGGATTTGTGGACATTTGTCGGCGCACGTCGTCATATAAACAGATAAAAGACTTTTTTGTGTGTTTGTGTTTGCAGGAAGTGGTTGTGCGTAGAACCATGTTAGGATATAGTTCATGTTTGTTTGCTCATGTGTATACGCTCTTGCGGTTGCTCTGACCTGCCTCCTTGTGTATAGAGACAGCGGCGATGACATCGAGCTGGCGTCATGTCCTCACGGTCAGGCCTCCAAAGAAAGCTCAATGGTGGCCTCCTGCAGCTGTGAGCTGCTCTCCGAGGGTGAGCCCAGACTTCTCTCCTCTCTGCACATTGTGCAGTGTTTACATGCTTTGATCCTGAAAACAGTTTTCAGATTATTGAAAAAGCAACCAACCTTTTTAAGGTGTGTATCGCACTCCAGAGAGGTCCTGTTCCACAACAGCAGATCATTACAGCGCTCCCTCTGTGCGATGCAGGGAGCCTCCTTTCACCCAGCACCCGTCTCACATGCCTTTAGAGCGCTTCCTTCAGTCCCCAGAGGCTCAGAGCTCTACCTCTTCTGCAGGTAACACCTTCTGTTTTTAATGGCTTGAATAATCTGATAAGAGCTTGCAGAACTATCCACACTTCCTAAACATTTTTACATTTTGTGACAATGCAACCACAATAATTAATGTATTTTTTTGGTATTTTATTTGATAGACAACACAAAGAAGTGTATTATTATGTATCAGAAGAAAAAAAATGATCAGTAGCTTTTAAAATCTTTTTCAATCAATACAATATGTGAAGTGTAGCATGCTGTTTCTGTCAAACCCCCTATGTCAATGCCGTGCTGCTTTTTTATTTCATTTGGAAGGACATCTGCAAGTCTTATGAGTTTCGACGTATCAACATATAAAATAAAATATGAAATAACTCACGCTCAGCCAGGATGAACGGAGAACATCGGTTAGCAAGACTTTTAAGGTCTTTTCAAAGCTTCTTGACTTTAAAATTCCCTTTAGACTTTGACAAGGCCACTCTAACTAATTAGTAAGCCTCCATCTAATATATTCCAATGTAGAGTTTTGAATTTATTGTCAGCTTCAGTGTCACTACACTACATCTAATGCACAAAACTCACAGTTTAGGCTATACGTCAAATTTTGGTCTCTTCTGTTCAGATCTTTTGCATGTTTTCTCTGTCTTCTACATGATGTAAGTTAAAAGCTGTTGATGTAGAATACTTACTTCTTTCACATGGGGCCTTCTTCCTGAAACTCTTCCATTTAGGCCATATTTGCAGAGTGGGAAGCTTAACCTTCTGAGCTGTGGATCTTTGCAGCAGTATTGCCATGAGCATCTTGGTTGCTTCTCCTTGACCAGCCTTGATCTTAGGTGTCTTATTAAGATTGCAGCTTTGTCCTTACTCTTTCCATTTTCAGCCAATAGGCTGAATATAGCTCTGTGAGATGAAAGCCGTGGATGATGGTTTAAAACCTCATCCTGATTTGAACTTCTCTCCAGCATTCTCATGACATTAATGTTCTTTAACAAACCTACTGAGCTGGATTTCTTAGACGGAATTACATAAATAGCTATTCTCTTTACTATTGAGGGTTTAACCTTAATAGTAAACGTTCCTTTTCCTTCTATTTAACTGATATCTGTTGATCTAATATGCAAAATACATAGAAAATACATTCAGCTATGTGGCTGTAATGTGCAAGAAAGCTCAAATTCAGGAATACTTTTTAAAGAAACTGCAGAAAATCCAACCAGGACTCTTTGACCCTGTTCAGGTTGTGGCGAAGCAACAAAAGAGCCAGAGGCTGATGCCAGCTTGGCAGGTTATCCGTGGTTTCACGGTACTCTGTCCCGTGTGCGAGCGGCTCAGCTTGTGCTGGCGGGCGGGGCAAGGAGCCACGGACTCTTCGTGATTCGGCAGAGTGAGACACGGCCGGGCGAGTACGTTCTGACCTTCAACTTCCAGGGCAAAGCCAAGGTAGGACCTGATGATGAGAGGAAGGCAGCTCTATGGTGTGGTGTGTGGGATTACATTGTCACTGCTTTAACAATCAAACACAAGGGATATTGGTGTTGATCATCTAGAATAGTAGATCTGGCCTGATTCTCTTAATACCTGATGCAGCAGCCTTTGCAGCTGACAGCCTAATTGTAGTTTTCCTAGAAAAGTCTCCGTAACGCCAAAGCTGTTTGCTCTATCATGTAACACGATCCCCGACCATCACATCCTGCCAGCCGGCTGTGTTTAGGAAGTGTCAGCTGCCATCGCTTCCTCCGGTGTCAGTCTCAGCATGCTGTCACTCTGCTCCAAGACAGGACGCTTCTTAGTTAACGCCCTGCCCTCTTGTCTCGGTTTCTTAATATTAGCATGGCCATTTTCTCTTTTATTGAACTTTCTTCCTCTACTGATTTAAAATCTTCTCTTTACAACATTGAAGTTAATTTTTTCCCTTCTTTCACTCTCTCCTCTCTGCAGCATTTACGCTTGTCTGTTAATGAGAACGGGCAGTGCCACGTCCACCACTTGTGGTTCCACACCGTAACAGATATGCTGAGACACTTCCACGCCCACCCGATTCCCCTGGAGTCCGGAGGTTCAGCTGACATCACATTACGCTCATATGTGCAGGTTCAGAGAAGCTCCACTGCAGGTATTTGAACACGCAGTATCAAACAGTCCATATATAACACATAGGGGGCCTTGCAGAGGTAATACTGTAAAGTTATAGCTACAAATTGGAGGAAATAATGCTTTGAACATATAACTACACCATAACTCAATGTGCCGATTTAATTTAAGTATAAAGCTAATCTGTGAAGGGCACAGAGGTTTGTTAGAGAACATAAATGAATAAAAGATGAGGGATTAAAGCTGACAGATTCAATTTGCTTATGGGCCAAGATGCATGCCATGGCTGCAACCACCAAAACAAGGTGGTAGACACCAGTAGTAATGGATGCTGTGAAGCTGAAGGAGGAGTCCTATTGAGTCCGGATTGTGGGTTATGAGGCAGCAAGCAGGTAATGTGAAGCTTAGCTTGCCGCTCCCAGGGAGAGGCAAAACCTTGGGCCTGGGAGGAGTTAGGAGATGCCATGGAGAAAGGCTGTGGCTGCGAATGTCTGCCCTAATCACTATATAGTGGTTGCGCCATTTTAAATGAGTGTCCGAACGTCTATCGGATGAAAAAGTGGTGGACTCGAAATTTCTCACAATACACCTTGAAAAGTAATGATCATCCATGGTCACTGGTTTAAAAATATATCCCAGAATGCTTTGTGCAGAGAGCTCTCCTCGCAAAGCATTATGGGATTTGCTGTCACAGCGGCCAGCTGTCGCCATAGACTGTCGCTACCCGACAACAGCGACTAATAACAAGGATGGCGCATGCACCGCGTGGTGGAGGCGGGGTTATGTGAACTACGGGGAGCAAAAAAGTAGTGCGAACTGTCAGTTAACTGAGTTTACTATATACCGTATTTTCACGACTATAAGGCGCACTTAAACGTCTTTTTTTTCCCTCAAAATGTGCGGTGCGCCCTATGGTGCGGTGCGCCTTATGTGTGTTGTAACTGCGACTTTTGAGACCACCTCATTGAGGAGATGATGAAAGAGTGGCTGAATGTAAGGAGACCAGGTGTTTTTTTTCCACCCCTCACCATCGCTGTTAATATGTAACTCCATGCGTGCCCATCTCACAGCTGATGTGAAAAACATGGGGAAACAAATTAACGCTGCTCGACATCGGTGTGAACCGGACCCAGCAGGTGCAGCAGAAGCAGCGAGTTTACATGCAAAGTCAATGGTTGACGCGCGTATAGGTGCAGCAAAAGGTCCCGCAGCGCATTTTGGTGCAGCACGTCGGGAGCGTTTAAGCATCTGAAGCGCCGCGCTTCTGCTGCTCGAGATGGAAAAGTTGAAGTTTTGCTGCTGGACGCGCCGCATCAACCAATCAGAGAAGCTGATCTGGGAGCTGCCAGCGAGACAGACACAGCGCTCTGATGACATATGATATTAACGCAAATGGAAAAGGCTGGATGGATGCGTGGCTGAGGCAGGTGTATGTGAGAAGACTAGGTGGTTTTTTCCACGCATCACCATCGCTGCGTGCCCATCTCACAGCCGATGTGAAAAAAAGATGAATCAAATGAACGCTGTGCTCGCCGTTATCCCGGGGGTCTGACAAAGGAGCTTCAACCGCTCGACATCGGTGTGAAGCGGCCGTTCACAGTAAGGCTGCGAGCGGCGTGGGAGCGATGGATGACCAACGGAGACCACAGTTTCAGGATAAGAAGGCAGCGCCGGGCAGATTACGCCACAGTTTGCGGATGGATTGTAGATGCTTGGACTAAAGTGTCTGCTGGCTCTGTTGTTCAAGCTTTCGCAAAAGCCGGCATTATTTCTGAGGAGCCGCGCTGCACGGAAAGTGACTGACAGCGAAGAAGGGGAAACTGGCATGTCTGATTTAGCGCAGCTGTTTTATTCAGAAACAGAGGATGATGACTTTGATGGGTTTGATTAATACTTTGTAATAAATACATGAATAAAGCACAATCATACTCAGTTTTGCTCCCGCTGTATTTTTCTCCCTGAAAACTTAATTCAACAGCAGCCCCGGCGCGTCTCCTCCTCTTCAGCGCGGTGGCTGGCAGGTGTTTTTTCATCTAAATAATCTAAATCTTGCAGCTATATTTGCTGTGATCAGTGGGAATAAAGTAGTTTTAATATGTTTTTAAGTGAGAAAGTCCACCTGAAAACTTAATAATTGCAGTCAGTTCATCCAGATTATCTATTTCTGTCGGAGGCGCTCAGACCCCCACATACCAGCGGTGCGCTGACAGCAGAAATCTCTTCATCAGCAGCCTGTAGGCTGGGCAGCCTGGGGTTCACCGCGGCTGCTGGCAGGTGTTTTTCATCTAAATAATTTTAGCTGCAGGCACCAGGATACCGGCAATAAAAGCGAACATATTCCGTCGGCAGGTTTCAGGATTTTAAGTTAATTTAGGAGTGACCACAGCGCTGTGTCATCTGCGATGTGTCTGTCTCACGGCCAGCTGCCAGGTTTGATTAATACTTTGTAATAAATACATGAATAAAGCACAATCATACTCAGTTTTGCCCCCGCTGTATTTTTAAATACGCAGTAGAGGTATTTAAAGGTAGTAGAGGACTTGTACCTGTATATAAAAAACGCGCCCTATAGTCCGGTGCGCCTTATGTGTGTGTTAAATACAGAAATGGGACACATAACTGAGAGTGCGCCTTTTAGTCCGGTGCGCCTTATGGTCGTGAAAATACGGTAGTCCCCGCTCTATGTAGTGATTGAGGGAGTTAGAGGTTAGAGCGGACGTACGGACACAGCCCATGAGTCTGTTTCAAAGTGATTCTGGCTTTGAAACCTCCAGAGGAGGGGGAAGCAGTGCTTCACTAACTCTGTTTACACATGGTGTGGGGAGATGTTGACCTTGACTGAGGACATTGTCGTAAGATGGAAAGGAATAATTTGAGGATTTCCTCAATGTGGTTGACCTGCCTTAACTGGTAGAAGCAGACTTGGGCCATTTCTCATTATGTGTACTTGTGTATTCTCATGCTCTCGTGAAACAGCAACAGCCTCAGCCCTAGTAATGTTTCAATTCATAAGAACACAAGACCGAGAACAGACAAAGTCCTCAGATGTTGTCCCCCCCCCCTCTTAACCGAGTATGCATCAGAGCAGAATTGTCCTCTCTTGAGATCGACAGCTGTCCCAGCATGCACCATGCAGCTGCACCTTCTTTACAGTAAAGGTGTAAATTATGAGATGCAAAACAAAAAAAAACCTGTACAACCCTGAAATAGAATAAAGAGTATTCATGCATTAGAAGGGCTTAGTCAAAGTCAAGTCCTGACTCCAATGAAAATCTTTGAAAATAATTGATAATTGATCCTTATGGACAAATGAATAAAAACGCCCAGCTCTGCATGTGAAAAGCAGGTAGAGACATATCCTGAAATACTTCCAGCTGTACCCAAAAATGGAAGGAGTTACAAGACTCTTTTTGTGAAAGAAGGCCATGTACCTTTTACTTTTAGTTCAATGCACAGCCTTTTTATACCTTTTCTATATATAAAGTCCTAATAAAATACATTTAAGTTTGTTTTTCTGACCCTACCAAATACAATAAATCTAGCCTGGCTAGTCAGACTGACATAGACGAGGCGTAAGTCAGTCTGCTAAGGCTCATTGCACCAATCACAGCGCAACAGTGCTTTACTGTAGCCAGGATGATGCCCTTTATAATGTGCTGTTTATGAGCTGTTTATATTGTTAAAGCTTTTCTTAAAAAAAAAAAAAATATCTGGTTAGTTCTAAACTGTTTCTGTTGACTCTGTTAGTCAAGCCTTTGAAATCGACTTCAACTGCTCCATTCCAGGCAGTAAGTCAGTAAGCTGGCCAGGCTAAACTAAATCAGGTTTTGCACACTTTAATGACTGTATTTGTTTTCATTTACAGGAGCGAGCTAAACCTTAATATGAAAATCAAAATAAGAATTAGGTCGACTAAACCTTCCTTAGCAATTTAGAAGGAGTTTGCAGGTTGGTTTTGATGGAAAGCTGGCTTTTGGCCTCACTGAAATGAAAAACCTCCTCTCAGCCGACCACTGCTCCAGCCCTCCTTGGATAAATGGTCTCCTGTGCAGCAGAGTTGGGGAAGCGATTATGCAGCTGAAGGTTTGCATGCTGGCTGAGACTCTGACTCCACCCCGGTGGTCACAAAGGGTCCCTCTGTTTTTCTGAATGCAGGAGCTCCACACACTCAAACACCCACTCAGATGCAAATAAAACGGCTTTATTGATGTGCTGGTCAGGCGTGTCTTTGGCCTCAGTGTTGTTGGTGTTTTTGCCCACCAACAGAAAGGATAATACAGCAGGCCCACACTGCTTTTGTTTACATGCCGCTCCATGAAGGAGCCATTTACTCATAACTTTTCAGCAAGAACAACAAACACTTATCATCAGCATAGATTTTTTTGTATTTGATGTATCTTTCCACTTTAAAAACTGTTTATTTTTTTTCCTTCTACTATAGATTCCACCATGCCTATGGTTTTGACTCCTCCTAGGGATGCATCCTGCAGGACGGATCCAGCTCAGACGATTCTTCACCCTCCTGGAACTGCTGCTTCTGCAGGGCCGTCATCTGATGGCCCCATATCCTCGAGCACCTCCTCCTCACCCACTGCCATCCCATCCCTCTCCAGAAGTGACCCTGGTACAGGACTTGGTGTGGGAGCGGGGCTGCAGAGCCGTAGTAACAGCTCAGAACGCCTTCTGGAGGCCTCGAGCGGAGCGTCCGAGGATTACCACGACGCTGATGGGACCCGCAGAGCCCGTGCTGTAGAGAACCAGTACTCTTTCTACTAAACAACCCAAAACATGGGGTCTGCTTGTTTATATTCTGAAAATATAAGGTGTCACGGACCGCTCTGCACATTTCCAAATGGTCCAAATCACTCCTCATTTCCTCTGTTTGTTTTAACTCCGTATCTCGGAACTGGAAAGCAGATGAGGCCAAGCAGTGTGTCCATGCTTGATTCAAACCAGATATCAAGGGTATGGGCAGCAGGTATTAAACAACATGTTATGATGCACAAAAAAACTTAAAAGTGTGGATGATTGCAGCCAGAGACAGTAAGGGCAACTTACATAAATAGAGTCATATGACTTCGATTCACCTCCTTTGACCATTTCCTGCTGAGCCTTACCCACAGTTCTCCAGGAGCAGAGCCTGTCAGAGTCCTCTGCCAGAGGACTGAGAGTCTGAAATGACCTCGCAGAAACCCCACCCCCTCCGCTCCTTAGAGCATCCTGTTAATGTTTGTAAAGCTGCTTTGAATCTGTCCCGGATATCCTCGCTGTCCCTGAGGGTTTCTGTTCAGAGTGCTGCCTCGGGTCGCTACGCTAACAGTGGTTCAGTTATCACATGTGTTCATGTTAGCTGAGAGGTATATATCCTAAACATGAACAGCCTGAGGGGGCTTGCTTTCTGACAGTTTGCTTAGACGTTAACGGACCAAAGCAGACAACAACGAGGAATTAACACCCCAAATTGTCCAAAACTAAACTGTAGGGAATAAATCTGCTCTCAGTTTCTGGTTAGAATCTAGAATGCCTTGGAGGAAGTGTTCATAACCCCTGAACTTTTCCACATTTTGTCACATATCAACCCCAAAATGCATTGCATACTATTGGATAATATGTGTTAAACCAGCACATAATTGTTATATGGAAGGAAAATAACATATCTTGAAGGGGATCTGAAAACTGTTACTTTCATTTGTATTTTTCTCCATTGACCCAGAAAAACCTAAAACAGTCCAATCAGGGTACGCCTGTGTGTAATGTATTCGTAGTATAAATCCAGCTGTTCTGAGATACCTCACGTTTTTTTTGGAAGAAAATCTTGGATAAGCAGAATCATTTAGAAGAAATAATGCAGCAGACAGGTCAGACAAAAATTAGGAGACAGTTAAAGCAGGATCTGGTTAGAAAGAAAGGTTGAAAACTTGAAGATCTCAAAAAGCTCAAGTCTGTCCATCATCGGGAATATGAAAGAGCATCTTCCACCCCTCCTGAACTAAAATGAGATACAGGGAGAGGCTAGTGTGGACTATGGAAAATCACTATGGAAATCCAGAGTTTAAGTTGGAGAATCTGTTCTCAGGATGAGTGGTGTACTCCCACAACCTTCCCTGAAGAGTGGAAAAAAATAAAATCTCTTTTGAAAGAAAGAAATTTTCAGTTTTGAACTAGTTAGTTGAAGAAAAAGTAAACACATGGAAGGAGGGTCCCTGGTTAGATGAGAACAAAATCAAACTTTTTGGCAAACATTTGAAACTTAAGACTGCACATCCAACCATCCCTGAGAGGAAACACAGTGGTAGCAGCATTATGCTGTTGGACTGTTTATCTTTAGTGAGAGTGTTCAAAGAGTATGGGAAGTACTGGCTAATAAGACACAGGTTACAAAAGACTTTAGACTGGGGCAGAGGTTCCCCTTTTGACTGAACAAAGACCATAAAAAATAATCCAATCTGAGGGAACCTCAGAGTGATTTAGCAAAGAATGGGCAAAAAAATAATAAATAAATCACTTAATTTACATGATCAAAAGTGCAAAAGAACGAAACAACCCCAAAAAGATATGTTGGTTTAATTAAGGGAACTGAAAGATAAGCTTCAATTTACAGATTTCTATTTGTAAGGGGATTATACACACATTTAATTCCAACTTTCTTTACGATTATCTGTAACTTCTTGTTCATTGATCACATAAAACCCCAGTTATTTACACTGCAGTTTGTGTTGGTAATGTAATAAAATGTGGAGAAGTTTGGTGAATATGACATATTCTGCAAGACACTGTACCAAGAATGCCATATGTGAAGGTTTTGGAAGTTTTAGCGAGGACACTACATACAGACACATGGCCAGGTGTTGTTTTACTAATTAGTTTAACATATTTTAATGGACAGGAGCAGCTCCCATGTTAGTGGGTTGTTACTATGAATGTGTGGTGGTGTATTAGAGTCCAGATATTTTTAATGATACGTGTGGGTGTGTGTGTGTGTGTGCTGCAGTAGTGTTTCTAAAACATGCTTTTCAGGGTCCCTGCGTCTGAAGATGGTTCTGTATTAACACACATCACCATCATCAATGGTAACCTGTAGTTTAGAGGCTCCGAATATGAGATTACTTTGAAGCAATGCCTTGAGGATTTTATTAAACCAAACCCAGCATTGAGTGAAGGGACTTGCAACTTTCGTTTTTTTCTAGAAAAGCAGCATTCGGTACTGTTGTATGCGCTCCGCAAATAAGCTTGCAGGTTTTATAACAAAAACGACAAACTGAAACATAGTGTGCAAGATGGCCATGCTTGAATCGATAGATGGTGTTTTGATATTTTATTTCCAGCTGACCTTGAGCTGAATTTTTATACACCTTCTTTAAAATAGAGCCTCATTTACAATTAAAATGTTTAACATCTAATTTATATTTAAACGTTTTGGTTAAAAACAGTCTTCCTCTAGCCACATTTGGCTCTTTAGACCTTCTACAATGGCTCTTAATAGTGGCAAAAAATTATGTAAGGCAAAACTAAGAATAAATACCAGTCTGAGAACTCTTGTTGGGTTTTATACAGAATTTCAAAAATGAATTTTCATATCAGAATGACTTTAAAACTACCAGAAATATGTTTTGTAGGGTTATTTTTCTTTTAATTAGATTGTAAACTATGTGTTCTATTATTATCACATCCTATAGAAGAAAATCCAAGCTTCATCTTAATGAATCGTTTTATGTTTTTCATTGTCTTAAACTACAAAAAGAAAATCAAATGTTTGTTATTTAAGATAGCAACAGATTTCCTATGGCAGATATTTAACAAAAATAATAGGTTATTTTATATTAAAAAGTTATATTTTAATGATTTTTGCATAGCCAGACTCGGGGCAAAATGGTTCTTTGGATATAAAAGGTTGCAGACCCCTGCTCTAGTTTATTCTCTAATCCAGCAAACTGGGTCATGATCATTGACCCAATGTCTGTTTTAAACTTTCTGACCTCTGCCTCAACAGCATGAATTTTGAATTTGGATTGAACACATAAATCAGATTTTATTATTTTTTTTTGCAGAATTGTATGAATATATAATTAACTTTAAAAAAAGAAAGAACTTTATAAAAGTTTGTGATAAACATAGCACCAAACCAATCAAAAAGTTGTTGATTTAACAGGATTTTCTCCTTGAATATATTCTTTCTGTACATTTTCTGTGTTCCCTGTCTTATTCTTCCAAAAGACTTCAAATATTTCAGAATACAATATGATCCGTGTCATGGAGGGGTTGGAAGTTGAAAAATAACAAAATAAGGCAAATTCCTTTTGTTATTCAAATGTAGGTATGTTTTGTTAACCAAATTTGCAACATTTTTGGGGTTATGACCCTTGACCTTAAAGGTAAAATATGACCAAAAGTAATCATCTTTCGTTTGTTCCGTTTACCTTAAAGATTATAAATAGCAGTTTCATGTTATACTGGTATCGTGTTGCTCTTTTATTAGATATGTGTCTATTCTAACTACACAGTTAAATGCAAAGGTTTTACAATTCATAAGCTTAAATAATCTCCTTCAACACTTCTTGGTCAGCTGGAATAAACATGTCGACAGCCAAACTTTTCCTTTTTAAGCATGGCCACCAAGCCTGAGAGGGGATTTCAGCGAACAGGTGGAGCAGCTCATGTGCCAATATGAATCCTATTTTATAAAAGCCTATTAATTCCTTCACACATGTAAATGACATGTTTCCTATTGAGCCCTATTTATGTACTAGCAGTTCTTTAAGAAACTGTGGAAAAACACGACCCATTCCACATATCAACGATGGCTCACGTATTCTTTTTGTTCTGCGTAACCCTCCCACAACTGAACTTTCTGTTGTCTGACCGAGTTTTAAAGAGTCTGTGCAATTTTGTACAAAGTGATGTAATTGACATACTACTTTATATTTCTGTGAATAAAATGTGAATCTATCAGACATGTCGTGCTGTTTTTCTGACACAGCATTTCCAAAACACTGCAGTCCAGTGATTGAATAATAGAAATTATACCCGAGTTTCTCGTACTGTCCTGCATGGAGTTTACATCGTTCAGTTTAGAGAATCAGACTTGCTCTCACACTGAAAAACATGCATATTAGATTATTCAGCCTTTTTTAGTGTGAGCATGAATGGTTGATGGTCTTGTTGATCTTTTTGCTCCAGGGGGAAATACAGTGATTTTCTTTGCCCCAATGATCTATTTAGGGATGTTTCTGTTCGTATTCAAAGCCTCAGTTGTGCAGAAACATTTTGTCTGGAGCAGACATAGGTTTAAAGAAATGTTAACTTTTGTTAAAATTTTTTAGAAAAGTGCTTCTTTTTCTCAGTTTTAGTGAGGATGCAGGTAGTAGCATTCTTGATCAGCTGCAGCTGTCTGATCAAACTTAACTTTGTTGAATTTAAATATCCAAATTAAGTTTTCCTCATTAAAATAATTTGTTCTTATTTGAAAAAGGATATCCCCTGGAGGGCAGATTTAAAAATAAAAACAGTAAATAAATAAGAAGGATAATTACAACTGCATATAAATATATGGCTAAATTTTCCCTTTTTACTTTGATATTAAGTTAAAAAAAACTAACAAATGAGATAAGGTGTATGACATTTAGTTTTTTTAAAGGAGCAAATAAAAATTCCACCGGTGTGTTTTTTTCTTTAACAAAATCACAGATATTTTTCTTGTAAAATGAGGCCAATCCATAAGCCCTTCATTTTCTTCCATGGCTCTTAGATACATAATAATTGTGACTTTTTCAGTCTATTTCTAATTTGTGGTTTATTTTTGTTGCTTTTCTTGATAGCTTTGTGTCTAAATTTTAAGCTTGAAGTCTACCACAGTATGTTATCTTTTTACAAACCAGATATCTAATTTAAACTTGAAATAGGCATCATAGAAAACACAAAGCTTCTGATTTGGGAATACGTCTTGGCTGGGTTTACCCATTTCAGGATTTATTTTGTGTGCATCTTTATTTTAATTTCTTTAAGGACTACAAGCTAAAAGTAGTTTTATCTGATGGAGTGCATCTCTGCTCTTGTGGGATGAATCTTTCTGTGCACGATTTGAAATAAACTAAAACATCGCTTGAAAATTTTAGAGGTTTTAATACCTTCTCAATCATATAGAGGCAATATCCATGTACAGTACATAGACTTATATACATGTTTACACCTGATGGCAAACAAACAGATGTTTACATTTGCTGTTATCCGATAATATTTACACTGCTCACTTCGTCTTACTGTTATAGATCCAGTATTAAGGAAAACAAGTGAAATACTTGTGCATTGTTTGTTTTACAAAAAGAAAGCATCCTTTCTTCTTTAGGCCTTATCTGGAGAGAAATAAAAATCACTTTAAGGTGCCTAAAATCGAAAAATGAAAGAAATTTAAAGGAAACATACCATTGTTTACAAAGAGCATGACCATATTTGGCTGAATCAATGATACAGATCTGAAGGTAATATTTTGATCTTATTCAGAAAGTAACTTCTATGAATTTTAATTATGGAAAGCTGTTCAACATGAGAAACAGAAAAGTATGATACGTAGCGATCATTAAATGAAACCATGTGAAATCTTAAACAGCTCATCTGCACAGATTTTGTTTTAAGGAGAACAAGTATTTCTCACTCAGGAGTCATACTTTATAAAGGAGGCGTAAAAGCTATGATCTGATTTCAGGTACACTGCAATTTAGCTTCGAAACAACATTGTGATAGTTTTAACAATCACAGGTCGTGCTTCAGTCCAACCCAGAGAAACATCAACCACCGGCTGGTACTGGTGCTGCTTGATTAAGGCTTTGCTAGACTGACGAAGAGGATCCCTGACGTGGCCAACATCATCACCAAAGTGAACTCTAGAGTCTTCTGCTGCCTGAACTGGTTAGCCTTCTCTTTCTGCATTTCCTCCATCTGCTTCTTCTTGGCTTTTAAGTCTCTCTCCCTCTGAAGCTGCTCTCCATAATGAGCCTGAAAAAATGCATCAAAATCAAACATGGGCTTTCCACCAGTGTGGGAGAACCGCCTGGCTCTGTGCTGATGATGATATTGCTGCTGCTGGGAGCCTGTGGATCTGCTGGATGTGTGTTTAGAAGATGGCTTCTCTGGGCTTTGAAGATCAGACTGCGTCAGGATCCCTCGATCATACTTCCTCCTTAGGCTGATGTTGCCCAGCACGGAGTATGCTTCGCTAATCTCAGAGAAGCGCTCTGTGGCTTCCTTGCTGCCCAGGTTCTTGTCAGGGTGGTAGATGAAGGACTGTTTGTAGTACGCCGTTTTGATCTGCGACTGCGTTGCACTGGGGGACACTTTAAGGATGTCGTAGTAGGCAGTTTTACTCCTGTGCAGCAGATGAGCCTCCTCTGACCTCCTGCTGTAACATCTAGCTTTAGAAGATGCTTTAAAAGGATCAGAGAGAGCTTTCAGATGTTTCAGTGAAGATCCACATCCTGATCTATCCTCTGTTAGGATGAAGAGGACAGTGCTGAGAGCTCTGACTTGCTGGGAGGACCTGAAGGCGTTAGGGTGGATTGAAGCAGCTCCTCTGGTCCAGAGTGACTTCATACATAAGAGCGTCCTCTCCTGAAAGCGCCCAGTTGAGATTAATAAGCTTCTGTTAGTAGCTGTTTTGGTCATTTTAGTATCAGGAAACCAGAGTAAACAAGCTACAGATGTGTTAAAAGACGAGCAACCAAGAAAAGACACATCTTTCTGTTGTTTTTCAGCTTTTCTTACTCTGGAAAGTTTCTCAGAACTGCGTTGAGAGGCTCTTCTTATGAACAAATAGGTAGTTTCCTCCTTATAATGCCTCTGGGTACAGACTCTGTTTATCGGAAGGAGTCCGCTGGTTCTTTTGGGGCACAAGGTGCGAGCCAGGCCGGGACCGAGGGCTGTAAGCCGGTAGGCTCTGGTCCCGAGCCGCTGGCTGACCTCTGCCATTTCATCAACAACAAACCGGTAAACGACAACGGACTGCTTCCGGGTGTTCTCGAACAGAGAACCAATCAGATGTAAGGTTTACCGGAAGTACACAAGACTCTTCTTCTTCTTTGTTAGATAGGAGGATTGAAAACAACTTATAGGTGCATACCGCCACCTACTGTACATGAGTGTGTAGCGCTATAGTTCCACCTGCTATATTCTATTTTTTATTTTTGTGTTATGTATAAATAAAAACAATGCTTCATAAATAACTGGATTTTCCTCCCTATCTCCATCTGTCCCTAAAATGCCTTTAATACTCCAATCTCTCCATTTTGCCTTAATTACTTTCCTCATCCTCTCTCTTTCAGTTGCATATTTAATGCAATCCATAAAAACATGATCCAAATTTTCTTTTCTTTCACAATCCTCACATATATCATTATTTTTCTTCCCTAGTACAAACAAAAACTCATTCAAGTAGGTATGTCCAGTTCTTAATCTAGTGTAACTGATCTCTTCCCTTCTGCTTCTTTCTCCATAATTTTTAACTATTACACATTTTTTAACCCTTTATAATCTCCCTTTCTCATCTTCATCCCATATTTTTTTTTGCTATAATTCTGTAATTTTTATTTCTAATTATTGATTTACCTTCCCCTTTCCCAAGTGGAATATGGTCTATATTCTGCTTTTCTAAAGCCTTTTTAGCTATCTTGTCTGCTATTTCATTTCCTCTCACCCCTTCGAAGTACTCAAGATGATCTACCAATAATGTTTTACAAGGAAGACGTTCCAGAATGTTTTTTTTTTCTTTTACTAAACTTTATTTATATCTTTGCAAATAGTACAAATTATACATATTATACACTTTAAAGTAGAAAACAGCACAAGACAAAAAAAATAAAAAGTAAATAAATAATAAAAAAGGAACAATGCAAGGAACATAAAAGACAAGGAAAAAATATACCTCTAAAAATGAAATGAAAATAAGTAAAAAATTATGAAAATTAGAAAAATAGATTGTATTCATTATAGATATTCTTTGTTTTCTGGGCCTTTTTGTTACGTGAGTAAATATACAGTTTAACATCCATTAAAAAGAGGTCAAAAATGACTTTACTCTTGTAGATATGAGACTTGGCAAGAAACAAGATCAGGCTAATAAGGAATGCAGCAGAGGAGTCTTTTGTCTTGGAATCTTTGATACCAAACAAAACATTTTCAAAATAAAGTAGAAACCCTGGGTGAAAATTATTAGATATTAGAGAAGCGATGTCCTTCCAAAAGTTCTGGGAGCACGCATATTTCCCAAAAAATATGAAAGGAAGTTTCTGGACAGAGCTTACAGAAGGAACAGGAAATATCAATTTCCACTTTGTATTTCTGAAGAAAGTGTTTGGTTGAATAAAATGTAGAATTTGAAAGATCCTTCTTTAAAAAGGGAAATCTTTATTATTAAGAAACAATGTTTGTGGAAGAGATCAATTTTTTTTTCTCCAATTAAGATTCTGTATGTTCCAAAAAGAAACACAGGATGGGGAATTGAATTAACTTAAATATTTTTATAGATTAAGAATGTGTGTTTTTCTTTTTTATTGTTTTAACTAATATAATGTTGATTGTGGATATTGCATATTTATTCCTATTCCCTTTTCACTTTTAGATTAGCTATATTTTGAAAGCATAAAAAAATGAAATAGAATTTAAAATGTTGTTGATATGTTACACATATTGTGATATTTTAAAGTCAACATTTAAAAATATATTAAATCTAAGACATTTGTCTTAGATTTTTTGGACGACAACAACATTCAAATTATTTCAATAATCTTATAAATAATGAAGGGACGTCTTATAAAAAGAATAGTAGAACAACTCAGTGATAAAAGTGTGAAGAATATATATATTTTTTCCTCAACCCCAGTACGAATGTCTGAACAGCAGGTGGCGGTGTAGCACCGCTCAAAAAAGTACCGGTATTTAAAAGCAACGAAAAAGAAGAGTGTGTTTCACCAGTAACGAAGAACAAAAAACTATTATTAAACAAAAGCTTTAGGAAAGATGGCGTTACAGTATTCAAACAAAAATTGGAGTAATGAGGAGAACATGAAGAAATAGAAAAGAGGAAATCATTGCATCCAGATTACGTTTTGGGCATACAGGGAAAACATCCAACAGGATTTAAAGCATGTTTTGTGGTTCTGTTCTAAATATTCTGTTGAGAGAAGGGAATAGTTTGGTCGATTACGAGAAAATAAATTACAGTTAAAAATACAAGATATTTTAGACAAAATTCCTATTTACAAGTGTATTTGTTATTTAATGAAATGCACTAAGGAAACCAAAATTTGATAGAAGAGATTTGTGTGATTAATGTTACTGTTATAATTATTTAATTTATTTTTTTTATGTGGAAGAATATATGTAGCATCCCGATCCACACTCCGTTCCAGCAGGTGGCGCTAATGCACTTCGATAAGTTGCTTGTCAACCGCCATAAAAATAAAAAAGAAGTGTGTTTCACATGTGTACAGCCTGCTTCGAACACACGTTCAATTGTTTTTTAAAAAATTGATTGAAAAATTAACCAAGTATGGCTTCCAGCTGCCGGAGACCAGAGCACACAGCTCCGCCAGATGTGGTTAGTTTGATAGCCTTATTTTCTGTTGATCTGCATGAGCTGTTTGCATCTAAAGCGGTTGTTTACCTCCTATATTCATAAGTTGTTCTTTGGCCTTTTTCCTTTTTGGTGAAATCTGCCACCGACTGTAACACCCTTATTCTGATTTCAGTTCTACAATGAAGCGGAAGCAAAGAAATACTCACAGAAGTAAGTTTGAATATTTTGGCCATATATATATACAGTATGTGTGTGTGTACAGTTGGAGAACTGTAATGTAATCTCTTCACTTATATTCAATGGGTTTCAGTTGTTCTGTTTTTCTTCAACTAACTTATTTTCTGGTTGTATTTGTTTTTGGGTTTTTTTGGTTCGCTTTTAGTGCCAGCTCTGATTGATTAAAACTCATTTTTTATACGTTTTTAGTTGATTTTTGTGAAAAAACAAAATAATTTAGTATATTTTATTTGCTTTCATGAAAGCATTTGTAAGATAATATTATACATTCTATTTGTGTTAATGTTACCATGTCGTTTTCACTTTTAATTATGGTATTTCTTTTTTATTGTCATCCTCTGCCCAGATTGATTGATTTTATTTGCCTGCTTAAATGTAATGATGTTGTGATCATATGTTTTCACACTTGCAAACCTTTGCTTTGTTGTTTATTTATTGTCTTGATGTCTTTCATTTTTTTATGATTTTGCACAAATCATAGATGCCCTGTCTTATCTGTAAATATCAGTCTTTGTCTTGACTGTGTTTTTGCTGGTGCTGAACCTATTTTATGCACGTTGTGAGGACCGACTGCTCCTTGTGGCGACTGATTGCTTGACCCCACAAGGGGTAAAGTGGGTTTAGGTTGGGTTAGGGTTAAGTATGAACCTGTAATGGTTGGGTTTAGAGTCAGGTACACAGTTAGGCTTTGGAAATTAATGGTCATGTGTGAGAAAACCTTTAGTGCTAACTAGGTCTGTCTGCCTCCTTCCCCACAGCTCCCGGATGATTGAGATCCAGACTCAGATGTCAGAGAGAGCTGTGGAGCTTTTAAACCTGCCAGAGGACCAGGCCTGCTTCCTCCTAGATGTTGGGTAAGTATGCGAGTCAGGCTGTTTACTTAAAGCAAAACTTATATTAGAAAGCTGCTTATTCTACACGAAGACTGTAATTATTTAGCCATAGTGCTTTATTGTTGAAAGGACTTTCAATGTTCTCCTAAATCATCATAGTTGAGTCAAAAACCTGCAAAGCATTTACATCATTGGTATATGAGTTCTGTATTAAACATTGATTTAATAAGTGATGAGGGCCAGAGGAGGAAATCTGAGGCACTAAGTTCTGTTCTGCCTCCAAGGTGTGGATCTGGTCTCAGTGGAGATTACCTCACAGAGGAGGGACATCACTGGGTCGGAGTCGACATCAGCACCGCCATGCTTGGTTTGTTTTACACACTTTTACTTAATCATCTAAAGTGAAATATATAGAGTGGGGAAAATCTGGATTACCAATCCGTGTGTTGAAAAGGAATTCATCTGCTCAAAATGTTGTGCTAACTGTTGTCAGATTCTTTTATGCTTATGAAATGGTCGTGTCATGATGTCTGTGTCTCCTTTAGCCGACCTGATCAGCTGTTTATCTTTTCATGCATCTTTCTGTACATCTTTCCCACCATCAGCTGTTGGTAAACTAAGCACCTCCTGTCTGGGTCAGCAGAGGATCAAGGCTCTGCCTGTTTGTCACTCATCATGTCCATCCATTCATGCATTAGTCTCACCTATAGATCTTTGTGTCTGTCCATCTGTACATGGGGGCTTATCTTTTGTTTATTCCATGTTTTTTATCTAAAATGTGAAAAGAAATATATGAGAATCTTTTGCTTCTTTTGTACAGTGCAGGGGCAACAATTATTATTTCAGATAAGATATTTTCAATCATGCTCTATGGTCAATAAGAAAGAAGCAAACCTGCTTTATGATGAAAACAGGAATAATTTTAACACAATTTGATTGTATTTTAGTTTGATTTTTGACTTAATTAAAACGGTTCAGTTCTGAGTTCACAGCTCTTATACAGCAAACCCAAATGTTAGTTGTTTTTTTACTGTAGTTTTCTTTGAATAAGGTGATGGCTACAGGTATCTTGAGAAACACAAAGAGAGGAAGTCATTTCTCACAGCTACCATGGAGCTACTGGGATCTGTCTTACATGACAGGACGTTGTAACCAGGAGTAAATATTTATATGGATCCACCAAAATTTAGTAAATAGCTATTTATACACAATTAAATTAAATTAATACTTTAATCTGCATTACTCTAAATGCTCTGTGGATTTCAGAGAACTTAAGTGACCTTAAACAGCTGGGAGATGTTATGAATTTTATTTATCATCTTGTGGTAATATGGATTTATTTGTCGCACCTAATGGTGAACATTTTTTCTGTGGCCAGATGTTGCTCTGGACAGAGAGGTGGAGGGAGACCTCCTGCTGGGGGACATGGGGCAGGGGATGCCTTTCAGACCGGGCACCTTCGATGGCTGCATCAGGTAACTGACCCAGCAGCTCATCCAATGCATTATAAAGGTTTGAACAACAGTTCTGGATTATTCTGATTTGTTCTTTACTTTTGTCAGCATCTCTGCACTGCAGTGGCTCTGTAATGCCGACAAACGCTCACACAGTCCACCAAAGAGGCTCTACACATTCTTCAGCACCCTCTACTCATCTTTGGTAAAGTTTTATAATCGCTGATCTAAATTTTTTATAATTCAGACTCTTTTATTAATGGAAAGTCCTTTTAATGTCCTGGCTCTCTTAGGCCAGGGGCTCTCGTGCAGTTTTTCAGCTTTATCCGGAGAACTCGGAGCAGGTAGAAATCATTACCTCTTTGTTGCCATGAGAGGCTTTTATTAAGCGTCTAAAATGATCTTCTTGTGACTCTACACTTATTTTCCCTATATTTCTATTTTTTTCCAATTTAAAGCTGGAGCTCATCACCTCCCAGGCTATGAAGGCAGGTTTCACTGGAGGCATGGTGGTGGATTATCCCAACAGCAGCAAGGCTAAAAAGTCAGTTTTCTCTGATATGTTTAGTCCCCTATATATCCTGTTGATTGTTTCTGTAACAGTCTGTGAAATTAACAGCAGAGCATTGAAACTAGAGAAGAAATTAACTGTTTTATCTCACCTGCATGATTCCTACCTCCAGGTTTTTCTTGTGTCTGTTCGCCGGGGGGACAGCAACTCTCCCCAAAGTAAGAAACATCCAAGTTAGCAGTTTGTATTTAATTTCTTAATGTCTGTTTTGGTGACTTGTATGTATTTTCTGATGATTATTTCAGGGTTTGGGGTCAGAAACTTCAGACAGGACTGTTATGAACCAGGTTCAATATTCAGGACAAAGGTAAATTTGCTCCAAGTAGAAAAGATTTCGAAAGTTTATTTATTTTTATCGTCCTCTACACTAGCTGTTAAAGCAGGCATCCCCAAAGTCGGTCCTCAAGGGCTGCGGTACTGCAGGTTTTAGACGTTTCTCTGCTCCAGCGCATCTGATTTTAATTGATAGTTGATTAACAGGCTTTTGCTGAACTGCATCATCAGAATCAGCTGTGCTAAAGTAGCGAAACCTTGAAAACCTGCAGGACACCGGCCCTTGAGGACCGACTTTGGGGATGCCTGTGTTAAAGAACATATAAAAGGCTTTAAATAAAGTGATCTTTTACTGCAATGTGTCAGTCTGAACAAAATTAGGTTTATTTTGAGTGCATTTATTTAGATTCCTAAAAATCTATATTACTGGAATGTTTAATCCATGCTTTACATATTTAACTTCTCTCCAGCTCATAACCCAGACTGCCCCATCAGATCAGCTAGGTTGAACAACCCCCACTTTAACCTCATGACTGATTAAGAGAGATATAAATTTCTGCCTTAAATAATGAAAAGGCCTGAGGACGATGACTTCCCAACAGCTTGTGTGATCCCCAGTATTTCAGCAGTCCAGATGTGCCTTGACAGGAGTAAATAATAACATTAATGGGCTCTGACAGGCTGTCTTCCACCTTACTCCACCCATGACTATTTTTCTTACCTTTTATAAGAGGTAATCTCCTCTCACTTCATTTATTTCCATGATTTATTTGAAAGGTATTAACCTTAAATAGATTTTAAGTAATATTTTAATTCCTCTAATAATTTAAAGATTTGTGTCATAGAGCCTAAAAAACAACCACTTTTCTCTTGGGTGGCTTTAATCCTTTATAGGGTAATCAGTGAAATACTTTGAAAATCTAAATTTCAAGCCAATAGTGTTATTGGAATCCAGGACAAGACCTTATTACCTTTGTAAATAAAAAAATAAAGATATTTTTGATGGTAAAAATTAATATCTATGTAATAACAAGAAACGCTAATTTGCGCGAAAATATTAAGAAAAATAACAAAAGTGCTTCTATAAGAAATGAATAAAAACACTCTGAGAGTTAAAGAAACACATTTTTTTGGTCCAACATAACCTTAGAGACATTAATGCTGATACTGGTACTTATTATTTTTCGGTTTTTACCCTAAATATAATAGTTAACTATGCTTATTATTTTTTTTTACCTTTTTTCCAACTTAATTTACAGTAGGTAATATATCATTCAAGCGTTCATCTAATCGGTTGAATGCCAAAATAAGATGTACAGCCATGTAGCAGTATCTTTGAGAATGGCTGGATATAGATCTAGTGCTTCTAGACCTCACTGAGGGACGAGGGTACTCAATTTGTAAGGGTTATGCAGGTGATCCAAAACGGTAACTTAAAGGGTTAAAGGATGTTACTCTTTAGTTATAATGCAGGTCTTGGCGTCAATCAGTGCAGGTTGAGCCATACTTGTCTTGTTGAAGCCAACGGACCGAAAAAAAACAAGAAAAGGCTGTCGTCCCGTCTGACTTTAAACTCCGTCAGGCGGCTTTTCCTCCTTTTCACATTCCGATGATGTTTAGTGGGATGGTAAATTGTGAGTGTCCTTAGTTGAATAACTGTTTAATAAGCTCTCTGTCTTTGTAAAGATGTCGGTTTAATAACATGAAAGGAAAATCTGCAAAGAAGGGGCGAGAATGGATAATGGAGAAAAAGGAGAGAAGAAGACGGCAAGGAAAGTATGTGATAAGTGAAATTTTTTTGTTTTAAAATGGGATAAATATTTTTCTTGTATTTCATTTTGCTGGAAATCTCTCTCTCTGATTGGCTGATGCCCTTTCTCCCTCTTGTCTCCTATTTCCTGCAGGGAGGTTCGACCTGACACGAAATATACTGGACGTCAGCGGAGACCTCACTTCTAGCTGTGACTCATGCAGCTGCACCTTCATTAGTGCCAGTCTCCCTCACCCACACACACACACACACCCCACACACACAGTCACCCCTGGAGCTGTTGCCTGATTGGACTTTTCAGGTTGTTAATTCAAGTGGACGAGACGCAAGCGAGAAATTACAGCAAATCGCTTTTCACATTTGGTGAAGTGCTTGGATGTTTGTTTGTCACAAGCTGTGAGGAGCTGCAGTTTTCAGTTTGAGTTGAAATGCCCTCACTGCTACAAAAAGAAAAAAAAACTGCAGAAGAAATGTTATATTATTAAAGCAAATTTTTAAGGAGGCCTTTTCATTTTCTCTTATTTTCATTGTATCACTTAGACTTGGACAGATTTATTTTGTCATTTTGTATACAACAAAAAGAAATGTCGTTAACATTTTTCAGGAAATTTCTTTTTTTTTTTAAGTGCAGTCTTGAAAATGACTATATATATATGACTGTATATTTACAGTTCTAACATTTTTTTTAAACCTTTTTTTTTAACGAAACTCTGTAAATGCTTTAAATTTCTTTTATAAGACAGTGATAATGCATGGTTATATGCAGTAACAAGGAGTTAAGCATTATTAATGTAAAAAAAAAACAACTAACTAAAATGTAATGGAAAAGTATAGTTTTTATATATAAAGTTATTTCTTAATGAGAACATCATCCTGTTCTCCAAAAGAAACTCCAACTTCCTGCTACAAGTTCCTAATGAAACACTCATACAATTCCTTTTGTTGATGTAGATTACCGTTGTCCTAGCTGCTAAATTGGGATCGCTTTTTCTTGTAGCTTCAAACTTAAACATCCAGTGAATTGGTTTGCAGTCAGGAAATCAGCAAAGCTAGAGGTGTAATTTAATTACAATATTATTCACTTTGAAATTGTAGCTCTTCAGGGATTAATTGAAACTCAAGTTCTTTGCAGACAAACTGATATGCTTCAATCATTATTTTTATTAATGCTGAAGATTGTGACTTAGACTTGATGAGAGCCTTAAATTCAGGTTATTAAAAAAACGTGTTACATGACACCAGAATAAAGCTAACGGAGACATTGCAACCTAGCAAAGTCTGGATTCATGTGCTGAGAGCTTTGGCTTTTTAATTCAGTCAAGATTAAAGTTCTCTTTGGACCAGAGACATTGAAAAATAATTGATTGATTAGTCATCTGGAAAGGATTAGACTGGTCTCAGATAATAGTGGGGGGAAAAAAACTGGGTGTTCTTTTTTATCTGGATTTGTGATTTGAATCCCATATAAAAGAGGTTCCAGAATTTCATTCTTTTATCACTGAATGACTGCAAAAAATGTGAAATATCCTGTGAAAAGATGAGGCTAAGAAATTAGTCTAAACATTTGATACTTTACCCTGGACTATTGTTATTTACTATAAGAAGGTCCACAAACTGCACTGAAAGCCTGTAGCTGATTCAAAATGCTGCTGCTAGAGAGCTGATAAAAATTAAACAGATTAAGTTTCTCCTACTCCAGCTTCCTTTTCTTGTTCTCCTGTTAAATCCAGAATATAATTTAAAATCCTCTTCAGGTATACAACCCTAAATGACCAGGCTTATATAAAATATCTGATTGGTTCTAGAGCACTTTGCTCTAAATCTGCAAATCTGTTACCAGAGCTATCTCTATAGTTATGCTGCTATAGGCTTAGACTACTGGAGGACATAGGGGCCACTTTTCACAAAGCTGCTTCTGTTCTCCTATTCAGTATTTGTTAGTTCAACCTCTAACTTTATGTTGTCTCTACTATCTAGCCTTTTATGTTCCTTTTGTGTATCTGCTGTCTCCTTGAACCCCGAGTTGGCAGAAGGCCACACACACTGAGCCTGGTTCCACTGGAGGTTTTGTTTTTCCTCTCCACCATTGCTGCTTTTGTGATCAAAGTGAGGGAATGGAAACAAGGACATAATGCAAGCAAATGTTTGCTGTCACTACATGCTCAACCAGGATGAGCAAATCCTGCAAAGTCAATGACTCCATGGGATCAGATGGGTTTCCTCATATAGAAAACTTTTAACCAGTCTGACTATGAGCGGATTAAAATGTCTGTAAAATGTCAAGAGATAACGCGTTGTAAATTGGCAGTATATAAATAAACTGAATTCAATTCAATTCTTTGTACTCAAGTAAATGTCTTAGTGGGGGCTGCTCAGTGTCGCAGTGGGTAGCACTGCTGCTTTGCAGCAATAAGGTTATGGGTTTGATTCCTGGCCTGGGGTCTTTCTGCAAGTTTGCATGTGTGAGTTTTCTTCCAAAAATATGACTGTTAGGTTAATTGGCATCTCTAAATTCTCCTTAGGTGTGAGTGTATGTGTGCGTGGTTGTTTGTCTCTGTGTTGAGCTGTCTTGCCTGTAGACAGCTGGAGATAGGCACCATGGATGGATGGATTTTGTCATAGCAGCATTATGCTGTGGGGAAGCTTTTCCTTAGCAGTGACAGGTGAGTTGATGGAAACTTTTTGTTGTTTTCTATTTTTATTTAGCAAAAAGACAGGTGTTTCTTGTTAAAAAAAAATCGGTCATATATTTGTATCTTTAAAAAATATGAGAACTGTATCTATATGTTTCCTTAGGCTGTATTGTATTGAGCTGCACCTCATGAACTACACTATAGAAGGCGTCGTTTCTGACCAACAGAGGTCGCTGTTGTTCGCTTGAAAGCACCTGGGCGTTATCCTTTAACCTGCTCAATCGATAACCTGAACAAACACTAATTCCTGTCTTAGTTCAGCAAGCAGACCGACTGAGTTATTTCGTTTTTAACTTATTCCATAACATGTCAGTGTAAAATCCACTGGAAAAAATACAGAGTTTTTATTTTTTTGCGGATGGATTCAAAGTGGAGTTTAAGGTGTGTGTCTGAAAGGTAATCGGCGGAAGGCTCTGCCTCACCTTTCCACACAAAGGTAGTTCCTGTCTGAGAGGCAGAGAGGGTTCCGCGTCTCTCCTCTCCACCAGACGCGCCCGGCTCGCATCATCCGTCGGTCTCCGCCCAGCCGCTCCATCAGCAGCTCACATCCAGAAACCAGGGCAGAAAGGAGGAATCACATCGGTGGACATCAGGAACCATGAAGGACCGCATGCAGGAACTTAGACATGTGAGTTTCTGCTTGGTTCACTTATTGTTTCTCTTTTTCCAAACATTCCCCTCCATCTCCACCTGTTCCTCCAGAGCAGGAGCGGATGGAGTCTGCAGCGCAGCTAAAGCAACAGTTTAGACTCAGGCTTTGATGGAGGCTGTTTGATCAGCAAACCCGCGCATTGGGGGCTTTTACGCACAAATCTGAATAGTATTAAACTATTAGGGCTTTTATGTGTTCAAGCCAATTTCCTTGTTTTTATATATTTGCACTAAAATGTCAGTTATTCTTTATGGAATTAAAATGAGATTAGTTCAGGACTAAACGGAAAGTTAAACGATTGAAAGGATCTTTTTTAACGCAATCGATTTTTGTTGAATATTTGGAGTTGAATGAAAGATTCCTCCAATTATCTATGAAGGTGGTGTAAACAGAGTAGCCAGAACATTTTTAAAAAGGTGACCAGACAGTAACCAATGCACACTGAGGGTGGGGGGACACGTAAAACATCAATATTTTCTAAATAAAGACTAACTAACAAATAGACGCATGTATTTAAACATCCATACATCTAATTAAACATCCAATTAAAGGCGTAGTGTACAAAATTCTTTCAGTTTTGAGTTCTGTAGCAAACATCTTATTCATTGTCATTATTTACCTACTTTACCAACCTCGGAGGTCCGCTGGTTGCTGTGGTCCTCTCAACTTCGGATATTGTTTATTTTAATTACGCATTAAATCGGTAAATGGACCATATAGTGACGGTTAAAAATATAAAATTGTCGCCTCAAACGATTTTAAAACGTGCCTATATTGAACAACAGCAACAGAAAAGAAAACTTTTAACTTTCAATGAAGCGCTCCATTGAAAGCTGTCGCAATGCATGCTACTGTCGTGCTTTCTACTGCGTCGTGCAGCTTTGTCGTCACGCACTCAAAACCCCGCCCGCTTTGCATCCAAAAATTCTAAACACATCTCTGCGTTGTGATTGGCTCTCCAATTCTAGGGCCTAAGGCATTGATCAAGGCTAGACCAAACTCGCCGGCAAAAGTGATTTTGGCCCATGGTGGGTGGTGCTAGTTTACTACACTAATGCTAGGGCTGGGGACAGGGGAGGCAGGCGGTGGGAAGCACGGGGACGCAGGTGTCCAGACTACCATCACCAGATCAGATTTGGTCGCTCCGTCCTCCGTTGGCTACCTGTTTTGACTACGTGCTGCACTATAGTCAACCAAAATCCCGGACGATTTTGAAATTCCCCCTGTACATTTTCTTAGGTCTGAAAAGTAGGACATGTCCGGGAAAAAGAGGACGTCTGGTCACCCGAGGCAGAGGTCACAAACGGGGCCCTCAGGGACCACATGTGGTGTTCTCAGCATCTTCTGAAAACAGAACAGCTCACCACTGCACTAAGTTTGACATTTTAGTTTATGCTGCTGGTCTTTTTTTTAATCATTTATAGAGCATTTCATGATATAAATCATTAAGAACATTTAAGTATTTATAGGGATTTAAAAATGACAATATCTAAACGCAAATTAGAAAATAAAAAGAAACGGTTGGTGGCCCCTGGTGTATACCAATGTAACTTACCTTTAAACAGTTCCAAATAATATCAGTGCCTGGTGAAGATTCTGAATCACCCGATGCATAATCATTCCAAAAAAGTAAAAAAAAAACAAAAAACAATCCACTGGACTTTTTCCAAGTCTGAAGATGTTTCAACTCAACGCTATTCCTGATATTTTTAATTGAAAAAGCTTCCTGGAAGGGAAGCAAAGTCTTTGGAAACAGAGTCCAGTGGATTGTTTTTCTAAACTTTTTTGGTATATCATTGCCTTCTACTGAACTCAATTTACAGTGGCTTAAATGGATTATACATTGTTAAAATTCAAAATAAATACTTTTTTAGAAAAAAATCTAAACTATTGCTTAAGACCACTTAACAAAGGATGGGTCTCAAACTGCTTCTACAAAGGGCCCTGTGACTGCACATGTTCATTCCAACCAAACAGAGTAATAACAGACTCCAGGTTCACCACCACAGCTGGGAAGATATTTAGTCTGCACTCTACTTTCTCTGTAGGATCTGCACGGTTCCTTCTTTCTTAAAATGCACTTAACCCACTCAAGGACCCATCCCACCCTGGTCATTCCTTGAACTGCCGTCTGGCAGACGTTTCAGAGCAATTAAAGCAAGGCCAGGATGAAGAGCAGTTTCTATGGCAGGGCCATTGCAGCACTTAATGGACAAAGCCATACACCAAATACAGATAGACTATACATTAGCATAAACATATTGCAATTACTACATGGGTATAGTGTCGAATCTCCATACTAACTCAGGACATAAAACAAAGTGATTGGCTTTAAGAAGAGTGGAGACAGAGACACTCTTAAGTTTATTGAGGAAAACCTACTCCTGAGCAGGTTAGCTCTGGAGAGAATGTTTCTACGGCAACAGAAACAGAGTTTGAGGAAACTGTTAAGGGGGGCAAACACTGTACAATCTTTCGGGGGTATTCTCCAGTCATGCGAGCCTTTTTTCGGTTGGACAGTTTCAGCCTCATTATGCATCCTGTGTTGTGTAGTATACCCGGGGTAACAATGGGAAGATCAGCCTCTCACGACCACCTGGAATCGTAAGTTAGAGAGAAAATCAAACATGTTCGAAATTCAGTCGTCCGACCAGCACCATCTCTCGGCGCTGAGTCCGACGTATGGTCTCTGGACGTACAGTTTGAGCAGTAAGATCGCATCAGAGCATCGGACCATACAGTGTAAGAACATGCATCGTTAGCGTCTAACTTTTAAACCCTGCGTTTTCATCGTACAGTTTGAGCTGTAGCTGAGTACTAAGATTGAAAATATAGTACATTGTATGCCCGGATTTAGTGAAATGGAAAACTCGGAGTGTCCCAGAATTCAGGTTTAATAAACTTTGTTTTCAGTAAAGCTGCTTTGTGAAATGGACCTCAGGTGATGATCAACCCATTAGAACATTGGCCAGATACTCAGAACAGATCAATATGTGGATGAAATTTTCTGAATAACTGATTAAAAACAAAACTGAGGTAATTCTTTTCATACCAAAGGACACAAGATCCATAGTTAGCTCACAGCTTCAGCTACTACAGGTAGTAACCACTGATTATGGCCGATATCTTGGTGTCATAATGGGCTCTGACTTAACCTTCAGAGGCACATAAAGCCAGTTACTAAGTCGGCCTTTTATCACCTGAAGAACATCTCAAGAATTAAAGGACTAATGTCCAAGCAGGATCTAGGCAAACTAATTCTATGCATTTATCTTTCGTAGCATTGATTACTGTAACAGTGTTCTCACAGGTTTGCCTAAAAAGTCCAGTAGACAGATGTAGCTGATCTAAAACCCTGCTGCCTGTGTTCACACTAGAAGTAAGAAAGTAGAACACATCAGCCTGGTTCTGAAGTCCTTCCACTGGCTCCATGTAGCTCAGAGAATAGACTGTAAATCCTTCTTTTAGTCTATAAATCACTAAATGGATCAGCACCTCAATACATAACAGATTTGGTGTCAGTGCATCAACCTACCAGACCACTCAGGTCTTCTAGCTCACGCCTACTCTGTTCACCCTCAACTAGACTAGTAGAAAGGTGGTCATAGATCATGATTTGAAAACACTTTGTACTAATTGTTTAACAACACAGTGAGACTTGGTTTTTCTTTTCTCTTTACACAGAAATGGTGGTTAGTCTTCCATAGGGATTTGTCTTTATAAAGGTGCTGCATGTGTGTTGGTAAAGTGGCCATTGTCAAATAAAGTTAATTTTCAGTAGAGAAGCTTGATTGGCCTCAAGGGAAGCAACCTATTCTTACCAAATGTGTGTTTGAGTGTGTTTCAAGACAGGCGTGTCCTCTTCATCATTCCACTGCCTCCTCCTCTTCTTCCTCCTTAATACTAGTAAAAAAAATTAGAGAAAAATTTCCTTAGTGCGATAGAAGCTCAGCCAGCATTCAGTCGTACGGTGTGGGGGGTTGACAGCACTGATATGCCAGCTGCTGATCCTATTTTCTTTCATCATTTTTGATCATATCGCTCATGTCTGAGAGATTGCAGCTGAAGCGGCTGCAGACAGACCTATTTTAGGCAATTCAGGCCAAATGGAATTGAAGCAAATTGCAAGTCACAGCCAGTTATTTCCCAGCAGCACTGGATTAATATTGTTTTCAGTATAGAGCTTCAACTTGAAGCTGGGTTTGCACTTCATAGAAATATATCTCTGGGTCTGGAGGACAGCAAAGTGGATTATTGGTAAATTTCTGATTACATAACAATCCAAACCAGCCCTAATTGTTTTACTGTCAGGCTGTAGAGATTCTGAATAATGGCTGTATGCTTATAAATATATTTATCCTTTGCTTTTTACAACTATTCCCATTTGGTCTTAATCTTTGCTTAATTAGGAAAGGCTGCAGAATGTGTTTGGTACATTTGAGGTTAGTTATAAATAATTTAAATAAAGCTATGTGTTTCTTCAAGTCAACAGAGCATGCATTTTCATTTCCTTCTTTCTTCCTTTTCCCATGAGTGTGGTGCATTTTTACTTTGGCTTGTTATAGTTCAAGATAGCCTTGAATGAGATTTGGGAGCCCCTTGAGGAATTACACATATCCCCATCTTAATAAAGTAGACATACAATGGATGCTTCTTTTTATGCTCTGCAATAAAGCATTGCCCCTGAACTGTTAGGAGAAAATCTGATGACTGAGTGTTCATGCCTAAAGGAATCAACAGGATGCTCGTCATACTCCCACAAAAACAATAGTGCAGGTGTGATCGGACCACTAAAAAAAGTGACAGCTTCCAATACCGTAAAATAACTGAGGTAATGTGAAGTGAGCAGTTACAAGAATGTACAAGTTTGTAATGCATTTCTAGTCACACTCTCTAACCCTTAGAAAATAGAATTCAAGTTCAGTCTGGATATACATTTGGCTTACACTTGTAATGTCAGGCTTAGTCACATAGGT